ATGATGGTTTCACTGTACTCTAGCCTGGGCAAGAGAGTGATTTTATAAATTTATAAAGTATAATTTATAGATTTATAACTTATATACTCTTCTCAGGATGACACTAGGAACCAAACATGCCACCTAAACTAGTCCTTCCATTCATTGTAAAAATCTCCTGTAACACTCCCTCCCTGCAAAGAGAAAAACATATAAACTAGGTAGCAGTATTACAAATGAAAAGTGGGGGGTTGGACAAGAAATAACAAAAGGGACAAGGGATTGGCAGAAACTGCATGTGGTAGGGCAGGGGGGCCTACTAGGAGAAACATTAAGATGATTCAGAGGTTTTAAGCCGGGCTACCTTCAAGAATGGTAGAATCAGAAGAAAAAAAACTAGGTTTGGAGATGAAGGAAACTTGAGAACAGGCAGAGATAATGAGCTTTAAGTGATATATTAAGTTTGAAATGCCCAGGAAGCAACTGGAAAAGCAGATCATCAATAAGAGTGTTCAATCCCCGTCCTTGAGGAACTTACAATCTGGAATCCTTTTATAGCTAGAGGTTTGGATTTAGTAGTGATTCTACTAGGTATTCCCTAAAAGCTGTAGGAACAGCAAAGTCCTCCAAGAAAGAGCGTGAAAGACCAAAAGAAATGCCATCAATTTAAGGACAAACATTTTAAATATTCTAAATACTAAACGCCATTTGAAATGTTAACATCAAATGCTAAAAACACTTTTACAACTTAAAATAGTGGCCTTTTAAGAGGATATACCTCGATACATTTAAATACATTTCCAGAAAAAGACAGTGTCAATAACATACCATATTGTATTAAAACATAAACTTTAATTTAACTTGTCCTTCCTATTCAAATTGTACCTTTCTTTATAGAGGTATTCTAGTTAAATTAAAAATAAATGGTAGAATTAAAGCCATAATTAATTCCACTTGCAAACCACTAGTGAAATAATGAAAATAGGCTATTAATGTAGTAGAAAGAGGGATAACCAAATATATGCCTCTTGAAGGAAGTACACAGCAATATCTAGGAATTATACCTGTCCTCTCCCCCAACACTCCCACTCGGAAATCAAACCTGAACTAAATTTGTTCAGTCTTCAATCTAGCTACCAATTTACAGCAAATACAAAGGATAGAGGGACATATTAAACTAGGACATGTTAAATCTATACCTGAGGGACATATTCATCAACATCCAGGATGAGAGAAACTAGAGGAAAAATGGCCTGGTTCCTTCAACAAATATTAGGTTGGTGCAAATGTCATTGTGGTTTTTAAATTACCATTAAAAGTAATGGCAAAAACCACAATGACGTTTGCACCAACCTTATAAGGAAAATACATTACGAGGAAAATAATTAAGATGAGGGAACCTATAGATTAAAAAGTTTAAGAGACATCCCAAACAAATGTAATATGTTAACGTGTTTGGATTCCAAATCAAACCAACCAATTATTTAAAAACAACTGAGGAATATTTGAATACTGACTGGATATTTGGTGATGTTAATTTTCAAAGGTAGGGTAATGGCACTGTGGTTATGATTTTCTCAAGAGTTATCTTTCAGATATCTATATTGAAATAAAACAAATGAAATCATTGGTAGAATTTGCTTCACAGTAATCCAGTAGGGTCTGGGGAAAGTAGATAGGGAAAGAGATAAATCGTGTCGCTCAATTCTTTGTGTTTTGAAATTTTCCATACTTAACTGTTCAAAAGGGAAAAAAGAAAAACACCATTCTCAGGGGTTGTCAACAAAAACTGAAAACAACAGTTTGAATTTTGTCTCCAAGTCTTACAAGCTGAGCAGCCCTGGTCTAGTCACGCAACTTCTTAGTGTTCCTGTTGGTTAAACGGAGACAAACAAATACCACCTAATAAACTCATATTCGTTCAAGCCAGAAAGGATATAAGGATATAACATGTTGAACGTTATATCCTTAATGTCTTTGACTTTCCCAGTCTCCCACATCTGGTTTCCACCAAATCCTGTCTGTTTCTCTACCAAATCCTGTCTTGTCCGTCACTGTGGTCTCACACCACTCCAACGCCTCCTTTCAGAGCCTGTTTTCCACATCGCATACAAAGTGATGTTCCTAAAACGCAAAATCCAATCAGGTTATCTCCAGCCCCACTGAAAATCCTTTTTTTTTTGAGACAGTCTTGCTCTGTTGCCTGAGCTGAGCTGAAGTGCAGTGGTGTGATCTCAGTTTTCATTGCAGTCTCCACCTCCTGGGTTCAAGCAGTTCTCCTGTATCAGCCTCCCAAGTAGCTGGGATTACAGAAGCACGCCACCACGCCCGGCTAATTTTTTGTATTTTTAATAGAGACAGGGTTTCACCATGTTGGCTAGGCTGGTCCTGAACTCCTGACCTCAAGTGATCCACCCGCCTCCGCCTCCCAAAGTGTTGGGATTACAGGCGTGAGCCACCAGTGCCCAGCTTTAAAATCCTTAAACTGCTTTCAATCAGCTTCAAAATAAGAGCCTCCTTTAAATTTTTTTACCCTCCTTGATTCCTTAAAAATCCCTTTAATTTTTTTACCCTCCTTGATTCCTTAAAATGGCTTACAAGGCCCTCCATTTTCTCATACTATCTCTTCAACTTCTATCTCTTTCTATTCTCTTTGACTTTATGCTTTAGCTTTGGTAAAATTATTTCAGCTCTTGCATTACACCCTGTACTCTTGAGTGTAGCTTCAGTGTTCATGTCTGGAATGTTCTTTCCACCCATCATCACTGCCTTGCCTGGCTAGCTCTTTCATCCTTGAAGTCTCAGGTTAAACAGTATTTCCTCAGAGAGGTCTACCCAAATTGCTTCTATACTAAGTTGGGTGTCTTCTCACACCTACACAATACAGTATTTGTTCCTACAGGAACTTGTACTTACCGTAGTATAACAGTCCCTACTTATTTGTAAAGAGTATTTGCTGTGGCAATTATATATTTATCTGTTTTCCAGCTAGACTATAACTCTAGGAGGGCAAATGGTGAAATTTGTTCACTGCTGAATCCTAAGTCTCTCACGGTGCCTGGTAGCCAATAACAAACTGAACATACAAAATTCACAACAATCTGGACTGTTTTCCTCATACCCAAGTTCCATCTTCCTAGTCCTCTCAACTGCAACAAAAACAAGACAGCTATGAAGGCATTTACACAGAGATCTTAATCTTGCATAGGACTGAGCATTGTAAAGTGAGTTGAAAACACGATGGGAATGCAGAACATAAGGAGTTGAGAAATCTATTTTCAGGCCGAGATAATTTGTATCCTAATTTACAATCTAAAGAAAACTCAGGAGTGCCAATCTAACAAAAATGAGTTCAATGACACACATAGTTCCCACCAAACCATAACAAGTTTTCAGACCTAAGATGTTAGATCACTTAATCCCTCCAGCCTCAGTTTCCTTATGGGTAAAACAAGGGATCCTGATCAGGGTTATTAGGGTCCTTTCCAGGGCTAATATATGCCCTAATATTTAAAGGCTAAAAGATGTAAATTAGTGAAACACTAATCATTTGTTTTCATCCTATAGTGATGATTTTTTTCCTTTTTAATCTGTTTAAGGACATTACAGTTTACCCCGTTAAGCACAACTAAACCTTCAAATTTATTCAGCTATAAAAATCTTACAAAATGCTCCTCAGATCAACTTGCATATTTCACAAAGGTAACTGCAATCTGATGAAACAACAGCATCTACCTAAACCCAAAATGAATTACTGAAATATATTCAACTTCTGTGTAAATAATAAATCTTACTCATCACGTGTTTTAAGTGCTAAATATCTTGAATTGTTGGTCATTTCTATGGCAATCTGAAGGCAAAGTTGTGCCCCAGGGTGTAAGACTTGCGTTTATGAGTACTATTTAACACCTAACTAAAAAAACCGAAGATACATAGTCTTTGCATCACCTCACTGGGCTGGTGGTTGAGATAAAAAAATTGTTGAAACCAGAGTAATTTTTGAAAAAAAAAAAATCAAAACAAGTTATAGTAAGTTACAGTAAATAAAGTAGCGAGTAAACATTTCACTGTTATCAGTAGCAGCCCAGTTTCTAATCAGCCACTGGAAACCCAAGGAAAGACTAAAGTAGTAACAAGTTTGTCTCCTGGTTTAGATTAATTACAAACTAGTTTTTGGCAACTGCTTGTTCCATCAAATATGTCACGACAAAGTAATAAAATGTTAAAACGCATGCTGGAAAAAAAAAAAAAAAGACGTACTTGGAACAAAAAGCTTGCATCGGACCAAGTGTAAACGCTATCCTCCAGATTTCTCTCAACAGGGCCGCCTTAAGTCCATGAGTAGAAGGGTGCTGCGGCGGATGCTGGCAGCCACAGGTTGAATGACAAAGAGCCCCCGTCAGCATCACTCCCAGGAGTCTGCGGGCTGCCCCGTCCCCTCCGCAAAGTCTACTCGAACCCTGCAGTCACGCCTTGGCTGTGGGGAATGCGGCTCTCCGCATCACTCTCGCAAGTCACCACGTGGGGCAAGGATCGGTCGGCCAAGAAGGTTGGGGCGGACAATGTCACGAGTCATAAATAATTCCTGCCCCGAGTCCCTTCCCTTGGAACAGAAGCGGCCAGGAGAGTCTGGAGGTACCACATGAAGCAGCCTCATGTTATCCCTTTTCCAGATCAAAGCATCTCTGGAGGAGCCTATTGAAGACTTAGAGGGGAAGGGGACTTCCCCAACGTCACCGGGCACTACGACCCAACTCCTCGGCCAGGCCAGGGGCCGGCATATGACCACGAGGCCCGCGGCTCGGCTGAGAGAGGCGCTGTCCCCAGCGCTTCAAGGTCTCCTTCACCAGCACTGCAGTCCGAGGCCACGCGACTGCCTGTGACCACGATGCCCTCTGCTGGGCCGCCTCCCTCCCTCGGAGACAAAGTCTCCCAACCCCGGAGGTCCCCTCCGACCCCACCAGGGAAGCGAGGGCACCGTGGGGTCCGCGCCGCGTGCCGCCGGCTGTTACCCAACTAACCGTTATAAGCGCGGATCGCAGCGCCGAGCGTGTGCGTGACGTGGTGGCGCGGGCTGGAGTTCCACGCGGCCCAGGGTCCGACTGCCGTCCTTCGCTGGCTGCCTCGTTTACTTGTTCCAGCACCTACGCAGCCATCCAGTCACGTAGCAGCTCACCACTTTGTCTGGTCTGGCCGGCGAGGCTGCCTTATAACCCGCCGGGGCCCGAGCATGCGCACAGGGGGCGGAGTCGTTTCTCCCGGCCGCCGCCCCCTCCCCGCCACACAGACATCCGAACTGCAGCCCGCATCTCCACACGCTCTCAGCCGCGCGCGCCCTCTAGCTCGCCCGCGCGCGCCGGCGCCCCCCTCCCCGCCACGTGACCGGCGTCCCAGTCCGACCCGCGCGCTGCGCCCCTGCAGAGCGACGCGGAGCTACCGCACCCTGCCAGGCTCGCCCGTTGGTCCTTGTCTGACGAGCTCTAGGCAACCTGCCCTCGTTCGGAACACAAATGTCGGTCTCACCCCTCAGTTTTTGCCAGAGAAAAAGGAAAAGTCACCTAGAGGCCTGACCCTGACGGGTGGGGGGAGACGAGCGCGCGGAGTAGCGGGAAGCGTCTGAGGAGCGGGGACTGGGCAGCGTTTGAATGGATGCGGGTGCCGCTGGCACCTGGGAAGATGCCGGGGGCCGGCGCTGTGGAGCCGGGCACGGGCTGGGATGTGTTTGGATTCCAATCCGGGCCTGACACCAGTTGAGTGACCTCGGAAAGTTCCCCAACCGTCCGGGCCTGTTTCCTCCCTCTGAAGTGGCGACAGTAATAGAACTGACCTCGTAGGCTCATCGGGAGGCCCTGAAGGGAGAACCCATGCAACTTGCCACCGCAGAGCCAGGCCCGCGGCGGTTGGCGCCTGGTGGGTATTAAAGACAGTCGGGAAAGAAGAGCAGGTAAGAGGGCGGGGAGACTACCCGGTGGGTTGGGGTGTGCACCTCGGCCACGTGGAGAAGCGAGAATGCAGGGGCCGGACGCCTATGGACGATGCGTGTGTGGGGCCGGATAGAATCGTGGCAGGCGGCGCTGGGGCTGATGCGCCTCACCCGGATTAGCCTCTGTAATCCTCACAGCCCTGTGAAGTGGGCGCTGCCGTGAACATTTTGTAAATAAGGGACCCGAGGCTCAGAGAGGTGAAGTAACTTTCCAGACGGCCCAGCTTGTCAGCGTCCAGCATATGAAGTCACACCCCAGAGTCTGTTTTTATCGTAATAGCCGCTTTGACCGGATAACCAACGTGTGTGTGTTGAAGTGATCAGATGACCATGGAGTGTCTCTGATGTCCAGGACTTTTGAGAAATACTGAAAAAGTATGAGGCAAGGCCCCTGCCTTCAAAAAGCTTGCAAGTTTTTGGGGGAGACTGAGTCAGGCACAAATTAACCAACAACTGTTGAGCACTTGACAGAACCCTGCCCTTCCCTCGTGTCTTCCTCCCTTCCAGGACTCACCCCCTCACTTACCCTCCCCCTCAATTCTCACAGCAACCCGGGGAGGAGGCCTTATGGTTTCTGTTTTGCAAATAAAGAGCTTGAGATTGAAGAAGAGTACAGATTGGAGGATCAGGTCCTGAGAGGTCCTATGTGCTTTCCAATAACAGTTCAGTGTGTTAGAAGACAGTATGGCATCCACGGCCGAGTACTACTAGTAATACAGTAATTGCTTTTTACATTTACATAAATACGGAGAAAGGGAAGGCATTTCGGGTCATTGGGGCAGCCAGGACTTACAAGAGCAGTGCTAGGGTGGCAGCAGCATTCAGGTAGATGGTAAGCAGAATTAAGTTAGAGAGAGAGGATCCTGAGTCTGATTTAGATGTACATTTATAAGGCCCTGTTCTATGGAATGTAGTGAGAAGTGGTTAAATAAGATGAATCCCAGGAAACCTCAAAAGTAGGCTTATAGAGCCCCATAAGGTGGTAGATTGACAATACAGACCTGAGAGCCAGATATGTTGGGTTCCAAATTTGATTCTTGCACTTACCAGCTCTATGTCCTCAGGCAAGTCATTTTACCTTTCCAAGCCTGACTCCCAACTCTGTAAAACAAGGATAATACCTACCTCAGGGTTATTATGATAATAAAACTAGTATTTATTGCAGGCCGACGTGGTGGCTCAAGCCTGTAATCCCAGCACTTTGGGAGGCTGAGGTGGGCGGATCAATTGAGGCCAGGATTTTGAGACCAGCCTGGCCAACATGGTGAAACCCTGCCAATACTAAAAATACAAAAATTAGCCATGCGTAGTGGCACACGCCTTTAGTACCAGCTACTCAGGAAGTTGAGACAGGAGAATTGTTTGAACCCGTGAGGCAGAGATTGCAGTGAGCCAAGATCTCACCATTGTACTCCAGCCTGGGCAACAGAGTGAGATTCCATCTCAAAAAAAAAAACAAAACAAAAAACGAGGTGGGCAGGTCATGAGGTCAGGAGTTCGAGACCAGCCTGGCTAATATGGTGAAACCCTGTCTCTGCTTAAAATACAAAAAGTAGCCGGGTGTGGTGGCACGTGCCTGTAGTCCCAGCTACTTGGGAGGCTAAGGCAGAAGAATCGCTTGAACCCAGGAGGTGGAGGTTTGCAGTGAGCCGAGATGGTGGCCACTTGCACTCCAGCCTGTCCAGCGCCTGGGCAACAGAGTGGAGACTCGTGGTCTCCAAAAAAAAAAAAAAAAAAAATTAGGCATTTATTGCAGTGTCTTACCATATAGAAAACACTACATGAAACCTAACCCCTAAAGATTAATTCCTAGAGGCCCTCCTTTTGAATTAGATCCCCAGTGTAAGGCTCTTGAGAGGGGCGGTCCTAACCAGTGTTGTTCAACAGGATCATACTTTTGTGTTGTATTGCAGTTTTTTGTACTCCTATCCTTGAAGATAGATAGTCATCAATATAGTAGATACCTTCAAGGCCCTACAAAACCTGGATCTGCCTTAAGAGATTTTAGTGTTGTGAAAAAAGGAGACTTCAGGAATCGAAGACCCTGTTCCTGGCCAGGCATGGTGGGTTCACACCTGTAATCTCAAGCACTTCTGGGAGGCGGGAGAGATGGGTGGATCACGCTGAGGTCAGGAGTTCAAGACCAAGCCTTGCCAACATGGCCAAATGCCTGTCTCTACGGAAAAAATGGAAAAAAAAAAAAAAAAAAAAAAGAAGAAAATAGCCTAGGCCAGGCACAGTGGCTCAACACCATATAATCCCAGAAATTTGGGAGGCCAAGGCAGGGCAGATAACCTGAGGTCGGGAAGTTCAAGACCAGCCCTGATGACAACATGGTTGAACCCTGTCTTCTACTAAAAAATTACAAATTAGCCGGGGTTTGTAGTGGCACCGATGGCCTGTATCCTGCGGAAAAGTTGAGAGGTTGCAGTGAGCTGAAATTCACGCTGCCTGGTCAACCAAGGAGGTGAAACTCCATCTTCAAAATTAAAACTAATTAAAGTAAATAGGCCAGGCACGAGTGGCGTCATGCCTGTAAATCCGCGGCAGTTTGGGAGGCTGTGGCAGGCAGGATTCACGGGATCAGATTCAAGACCAGCCTGACCAAACCATGGTGAAATTCCCGTCTTCTCGGCGCGGATCCACAAGGTCAGAGATCGAGACCATCCTGGCTAACACCGGTTGAAAAACCCCGTTCACTCTACTAAAAAGAAGTACAAAAAACTAGCCGGCGTATGGTTTTTAGCGGGGCCTGTAGTCCAGCTGACTTGAGGAGCTTGAGCAGGAGATGGCGTAAACCGCCGGGCAGAGCTTGCAGTGAGCTGAGATCCGGCCACTGCACTCCAGCCTGGGGCAAACAAGGCGAACTCCGTCTCAAAAAAAAAAAAAAGAAAAAAAAAAAAGAAATCCCGTCTCTACTAAAAATACAAAAATTAGCCTGGCGTGGTAGCACGCACCTATAATCCCAGCTACTCAGGAGGCCGAGGTAGGAGAATCACTGGGAACCTAGGAGGCAGAGGTTGCAGTAAGCCGAGATTGTGCCACTGCACTCCAGCCTGGGTGACAGAGTGCAAAGAAAAAAGAAAAAAAAAAAGAAGATCTGGTCCTATAACTGCTATCTGTGTTATTCTGGGCAGTTAACTCACTAAACTTTCTTGGGCTTTGGTTTCCTCGCCAGATAAGTTAAAAATAATACATACTAGCCCAAACTGTTGTGTTAATCAAATGAGACAGTATCTGCAGAAGAAGTAATTAGTAAAACTTTGAAAGTGTTCTATAAGTATTTATGAATTAATGTCATAATTTGTCTAAAGTACATAAAAGGGAAAAATCAAAAGCAACTCCAAGGCTCTTACGTGGAAAAATAGAAACAGGGTGGGTGGGTGAGCTGGTGAAAATAATAAAATAATACAGGTGAAATTCTTGCTCTTCTGCCAGATTTTCTTCCTGATTTGAGGCACACAACATTGAAGAAATGAACTAGGAAGCATAGGATGAGAAATCAGAGTGGAGAGGAAATTGGAGATCATCTAAGGCACTCCTGACTTTTTACGGAAATGGAAATTAAGGCCCAGGGACGCTAAAAGACTTGTCTGAGGCCTCCCATCTAATGATTGGCATGATCAGAAACTCAGTTTCTTTAAGTGTAAGGAACAAGTACAATCTTTAAGATAAAATATTTTGTCATGGGGGTCTTTTAGAATCATTACATGAGGCCGGGCGCAGTGGCTCAGGCCTGTAATCCGAGCACTTTGGGAGGCGGAGGGAAGCGGAGGCAGGCGGATCACGAGGTCAGGAGATCGAGACCATCCTGGCTCACACAGTGAAACCCCGTCTCTGCTAAAAATACAAAAAATTAGCTGGGCATGGTGGCGGGCACCTGTAGTCCCAGCTACTCAGGAGGCTGAGGCAGGAGAATGGCGTGAACTCAGGAGGTGGAGCTTGCAGTGATCGGAGAGTGTGCCACTGCGCTCCATCCTGGGTGACAGAGCGAGACTGTCTCAAAAAAAAAAAAAAAAAAAAAGAATAATTACATCAGAACCAGAGAAGACCTGGTGCTTTCTTCTGGCTTTTAGCTTTATCACTATCACAAAATTCTTAGGATTCACCTTTCTGTTTTAAAGGTTGATAGACTGGATGCTGCTATGGTAATCTGCCTCAGGAAAATGCCGGACTGTTGTTTGCAAGCTTGTTAAGTGAGCAAAACTTGGGAAGATTTCAAGGTAAGAGTTATAACTTCGTAAGTTAGTGATGCAATAAGAAATGCAAATGCAAACTTCAAAAAATTATGATATAGGTACTCTTTAAGCTGAGTAAGTTGCTCTGTTGCTTTATGTGAAAAAAGAAAGATAAAATTACAGTGTGTTCTCCAGAATTCACCTACTTAACTTACATTCTTTCAGTTACTTCACCATTTCTCTGATGTAATAAATAGGAAGGTGCTATTTTGCCCATTTTAGTAACAATAATACAGGAAAGGATTCTTTTTTTAATTGACACGTTGTAAATGTTTTTTGGGGTTTTTTTTGTAATTTTCATTGTAATTGCTGGCTTTTTGTATGTTTAGTTATTCTGGTGGTGAGGGATTTGCTTTACTGCTTCTTTGGGCCTTTGAGAATTTTTTTGTGCATGCACAGACACACACATACACATATATATAATATGTAATTATACATATTCTGGGTTACAGTTTGGTGTTTCCATACAAACAAATGTTGTATGCTGATCAAATCAGGGTACTTAGCATATCTCTCACCTCATGCTGTTTTGTAATATACAATACCTTATTGTTAACAGCAACCCTACTGTGCAATAAAACACCAGAACTTATTCTTCCAATCAAATTGTCACTTTGTACCTGTTGACAGCCTTTCCCTCTCCTCCTTTCCCCTATCCCCTTTCTAGTCTCAGATAACCACTGTTCTCTTTGCTTGTAGCATATAAACTCTTACTTTAAAAAAATTAGATTCCACAGATCATACAGTATTTATCTTTCTGTGTCTGGCTTATTTCACTTAACATAACGTCCTCCAGGTTTAACCATATTTTCACAAATGGCAAGATTTCATGCTTTTTTACAGCTGTATAATATTCTGTTATCCATATGTACCACATTTTCTCTTTTTTTTCCTTTTTCTTTTTCTTTTCTTTTTTTTTTTTTGAGACTGAGTCTTGCTCTGTGCCCCAGGCTGGAGTGCGGTGATGCAATGTCAGCTCACTGCAACCTCTGCCTCCCAGGTTCAAGCGATTCTTTTGCCTCTGCCTCCCAAGTAGCTGGGATTACAGGCACCTGCCACCATGCCTGGCTAATTTTTGTATTTTTAGTAGAGACAGGGTTTCACCATATTACTCAGGCTGGTCTCAAACTCCTGACCTCAAATGACCCACCCACCTCAGTCTCCCAAAGTGCTGGGATTACAGGCATGAGCCACTGTTCCCAGCCTCACATTTTCTTTATTTATTCATTCACTGTTAGATGTTTGGATTGATTCCATAACTTGGTTATTGTAAATAGTGCTGCAATAAACATAGGAGGGCAGATACCACTTCAATGTAACTGACTTCATTTCCTTTGAATACGTAGCCACTAGTGGGACTCCTGGCTCATACAGTAGTTCTATTTTTAATGTTTTGAGGTAAAAATTTTCAACAAAGGTGCAAAGAACACACATTGGGAAAAAGTCTTTTAAATAAACGGTGCTGGGAAAATTGGAAAGTCACATGCAGAAGAATAAGACTAGACCCTGTCTCCACCATATACACAAATCAACTCAAAATGGATTAAAGACTGTCTTCCATAGCTGCTGTACTAATTTGTAATTCCACCAAAAAGTGTGAGTGTTGTCTTTTCTCCATATCCTAGCCAACGTTTGTTTTCTTTTGTCTTTTTTTTTTTTTTTAAAGGCGGAGTCTCACCGTGTCACTCAGGCTGGAGTGCAGTGGTGCAATCTTGGCTCATTGCAACCTCTGCTTCCTGGGTTCAAGCAATTCTCCTGTCTCAGCCTCTCGAGTAGCTGAAACTATAGGCAAGTGCCACCATACCTGGCTAATTTTTGTATTTTTAGTAGAGATGGGGTTTCACTATGTTGGCCAGGCTGGCCTTGAATTCCTGACCTCAATTGATCCACCTGCCTCAGCCTCCCAAAGTGCTGGGATTACAGGCATGAGCCACCGTGCCCCAGCCTGTTTGTTAATAGCCATTCTAACTAGAGTGAGATGATATCTCATTGTGATTTTGATTTGCATTTGCCTGATGATTAGTGATGTTGAGCATTTTTTCATGTACCTGTTGGCCATTTGTATGTCTTCTTTTGAGAAATGCCTATTAAGGTCTTTTGCCCACTTTTAAATCAAGAAAATTTGTTTTTCATTGTTGAATTAAGTTATTTATATATTCTTTAGATATTAACTCCTTGTAAGATGTATAGTTTGCTTATATTTTCTTCCATTCTGTAGATTGTCTCTTCATTTTGTTACTTGCTTCCTTTTTATGTACAAAAGCTTTTCAGTTTGATATAATCCCATTGGTCTATTTTTTGCTTTTGTTGTCTATGCTTTGAGATCTTATTTTAAAACCCTTGCCCGACCCGATGTTGTAAAGCATTTCCCTTATGTTTTCTTTTAGTAATTTCATAGTTTCAAGTTTTGTATTTAAGTCTTTAATCCATTTTGAGTTGATTTGTGTATATGGTGGAGACAGGGTCTAGTCTTCGGCTTCTGCATGTAACTTTCCAGTACTATTTATTGAAGAAACTGTCTTTTTCCCAGTGTGTTTTCTTGGCACCTTTGTTGCAAAACAGTTGGCCATAGATGCATGAATTTATTTCTGGGTTCTTTATTCTGTTCCACTGGTCTCTGTGTTTGTGTTTATGCCAATACCATGCTGTTTTGGTTACTATAGCCTTGTAGTATATTTTGCAGTCAAGTACTGTGATGCCTCGGCTTTGTTATTTTTGCTCAGGATTTATTTGCCTATTTGAGTCTTTGTGGCTCCATATGATTTGTTTTTTTTTATTGTTGTTGTTGTTGTTTTGAGACGGAGTTTCACTCTTGTTGCCTAGACTGGAGTGCAATGGCACAATCTCGGCTCTCTGCAACCTTCACCTCCCAGGTTTAAGTGATTCTCCTGCCTCACCCTCCCGAGTAGCTGGAATTACAGGCATGTGCCACCACGCCTGGCTAATTTTGTATTTTTATTAGAGACGGGGTTTCTCCATGTTGGTCAAGCTGGTCTCGAACTCCCGACCTCAGGTGATCCCACCTCCTTGACCTCCCAAAGTGCTGGGATTACAGAGTGAGCCACCGCGCCCGACTGTCTTTTTTATTTCTGTGAAATATATCATAGGTATTATATAGAGACTGTAGTTTGTAGATCAGTTTGGGTAGTATGGGTGTTTCAACAATATTAATTCTCCCATAAACATGAAATGTCTTTCCGTTCCTTTGTGTCTTCTTCAGTTTCTTTCATCAAGGTTTTATAGTTTTCAGTTTAGAGATCTTTAACCTCCTTAGTTAAGTTTATTCTTAAGTATCTTATTTTTGTGTAGCTATTGTAAATGGAATTATCTTCCTGATTTCTTTTAGGAAAGGATTCTTTTTAAACACAATATTTTGTCATTAAGAATACTGCCCTCCCTCATAATATATAATAATTTAATAGGGAATATGGAAAATGTGATTTGCTTTTGAGCCATGTTTGAAGAAAGGGTTTGCTAAGCACATACCTGGAGTAAAGAAGATAATGTCAATCCTAAAAACTTTTTTTTTAAAGTTGAGAGCCCTCTCATTCAGAATACCATCATCTAATTTCAGGTTATATGTCAGGTGTAGTCCTCCTGCTTTCAAAGGCCTGTGTCTGGATGTAGGGTGAATTTTGCCATTCTTTAAAGAAAGACTAACTCAGTATTCGTGAGATGCACTCTAAGCTCCTCCCTTGACCTCCCCCATTTCTCTTCAGCTCTCCTTGCTCTGTTTTGACCTATCACTTATCTTACCAGCCTGCACCAGTTTAGTATCCTAATCAGTTACTTCTCTGGCACTCTACTGACATGACATGACATGGTCAAAATAGTTTGCTAGAAAACAAAATGTTTGCAATAAAAATTTCTTCAACATGACAAATGAGTCAAAAATTATTGTTTCCAACTGCTGGTTTTTTGTATGTTTAGTTATTCTGGTGGCCAGGGATTTACTTTACTGCTTCTCTAGGTCTGTGATAATTTTTTTGTGCACACACAGACACACACATACACATATATATGTTTCTTAAGGAATCATATTGTGCATACTGTTTTTTTTCCACTGAGACGGAATCTCACTCTATCGCCCAGGCTGGAGAGCAGTGGTGCGAGCGACCTCGGCTCGCTGAAACCTCCACCTTCTGGGTTCAAACAATTCTCCTGCCTCAGCCTCCTGAGTAGCTAGGCTTACAGGGGTGCGCCACCATGCCTGACTGATTTCTGTATTTTTAGTAGAGACGGGGTTTCACCATGTTGGCCAGGCTGGTCTCAAACTCCTGACCTCAGATCCACCCGCCTCGGCCTTCCAGATTGCTGGGATTATAGGTGTGAGCCACCACGCCTGGCCACTGTTTACTACTTTTTAAATATTTGCAGGCTGGGTGTGGTGGCTCACGCCTATAATCCCAGCACTTTGGTAGGCTGAGGCGGGTGGATCATGAGGTCAGGAGTTCGAGACCAGCTTGGCCAACATGGTGAAACCCCGTCTCTAGTAAAAATATAAAAATTAGCCGGGTATGGTGGCAGGCGCCTGTAATCTCAGTACTCGGGAGGCTGAGGCAGAGAATTGCTTGAACCGGGGAGGTGGAGGTTGCAGTGAGCCGAGATCGCGCCACACTGCATTCCAGCCTGGGCAACAGCAAGCCTTTGTCTCAAAAAAAAAATATATATATATATATATATTTGCAATGGCTTGATAATATGAGACATTTACATTGCTTCTTAATAATCATCTTGGCCGGGCGCGGTGGCTCAAGCCTGTAATCCCAGCACTTTGGGAGGCTGAGACGGGCGGATCACGAGGTCAGGAGATCGAGACCATCCTGGCTAACACGGTGAAACCCCGTCTCTACTAAAAAATACAAAAAACTAGTCGGGCGAGGTGGCGGGCGCCTGTAGTCCCAGCTACTCGGGAGGCTGAGGCAGGAGAATGGCGTAAACCCGGGAGGTGGAGCTTGCAGTGAGCTGAGATCCGGCCACTGCACTCCAGCCTGGGCGGCAAAAAAAAAAAAAATCATCTAAGAATTAATTTAGATTAAAAAGCACAAAAGTTTGAAACATACCTAAAATTTTATGAAAATCTGACAGTACTGCTTTAAAACTTTAAAGGTGGCAAAACAATCCATATGGAAAACAAGCAGCTGAGAATATTCCTTTTTGACCTGTTTATCTTCGAATTCAATTTGTTTTCAACCAGATTACCTGAGGCTCAATCTATGTCATTCTAATTCCCACTCTGGTCTGATATGGCTTGACTCCTGCTCCTTGTCTTTGCTAGCCCAGGAGGATAGTTTTGACCTATGCTCTTTGTAACGTACATCATCGCTGTTTAGGATCTTTTCTAGGAAGCATTCTTTCTAGAGATGGTCCTATGTATTTGCCAGACCTGTTTTCTTCCTTGACCCCTAGCTACTAAAAGTCCTAACCATGAGTACCTTCCCTACCTCCCTCTTTTCCTCCCTCCCTTCCCTCCTTTCTTCTTTCCATCTCTAGTAAAGTATTTTAGGCAAATGGGATGGGGAGTTCAATAATAACAATAGTAAATTGATGACAGCCAAGATTTCTGGAATACTTACCATATGCTAAGCATTGCTCTAAGCACTTTAGATGTAGTAACACTCATTAATTCCTCACAAAAATGCTATAAACTAGGAACTGTTACAATCCCCATTTTATAGACATATACAGATACAGAGAGGTTAAGTAACGTCCCCAAGGTCACATAATCAGTATTGTCTCGAGTCATCAGAAAGTAGTCATCACGGCCGGGCACGGTGGCTCACACCTGTAATCCCAGCACTTCGGGAGGTCAAGGCGGATGGATCATGATGTCGGGAGTTTGAGAACGGCCTGGCCAACATAGTGAAACCCTGTCTCTACTAAAAATACAAAAATTAGCCAGATGTGGTGGCAGGCGCCTGTAGTCCCAGATAGTTGGGAGGCTGAGGCAGGAGAATGACTTGAACCTGGGAGGTGAAGGTTTACAGTGAGCTGAGACTGCGCCATCGCACTCCAGCCTTGGCAACAGAGCAAGACTCTGCCTGAAAAAGAAAAAAAGTAGTTATCATTTAGTTTTCACCAAAAATACACAAGTAGAAATTGTCATTTGTAACTATTAATACCATAGGAGACTAATCAATAGAATTTAAGGCCATCTTGACTTAGAAAAACCCTGTTTTGGGTTCCTTTTATGTTAATAGAGTGAAACAACCATTATGAAAGCATGTGCCATGAAAGCTGCCATTGAAACCAGAGATTCACCACAGAGAACTACCCCCTGCTTATCTGAATTTGGGGTAGTTATCAGTCTCTAGTCAGCTAAGTTGGGGACAAAGATGATGGGACATGGTTTTGTTAGCAGCTTAAATTTTTTTTTTTTTTTTTTTTTTTTGAGATGGAGTTTCACTGTTTCACCCAAGCTGGAGTGAAGTGGCGCGATCTTGGCTCACTGCAACCTCCGCCCCCTAGGTTCAAGCAATTCTCCTGCATCAGCCTCCAAAGTAGCTGGGATTACAGGCATGTGCCACCACACCAGGCTAATTTTTGTATGTTTAGTAGAGATGGGGTTTCACCGTGTTGGCCAGGCTAGCCTCGAACTTCTGACCTCAGGTGATCCACCCGCCTCAGCCTCCCAAAGTGCTGGAATTACAGGTGTGAGCCACCACGCCCAGCCAACTAACAGCTTAATTGGTCGCCTATTTCTAGGAAGTTCTGGGTGTCCTGGTCCCCATATTCCATGCTATAAGATCATTCAGTGTGAGAACCTGGACTTTAAAGCCCTCACCCAAAGCAGCAACAGATAGTTGGAATTACTGGACGGCTGCACATCAAGCCTACTGTGACTCAGCCAAGGGGTGCATGCAGCGAAGGAGGCCTCTAACATCACAGTGACTGTCTTTGTGTATCTATCTGCCTAGGGATCCAGACCTGGGTGTTCTACCTGTACCTTCATACTGCTGCACTGGTGAGCAAGATGAGGCTTAAATAAAGCATACAATTCAATTTGTGGTTACCTCTGAGAACCCCAAATCTGCCATGGATCTCTGCACCACACAACACCTGTGACACCTGTGCCAAGGTGAGGTCCAGTAGCTACCACACCTACTTCTGAGCTGCATATTAGAGTGATGCCTTCCTGCCTACCCTCCCTCTGTCTTACCTTTTGCACAAATCATGGGCTCAGATGTTATACCTGTTATTGCACTCTGATACGATTATTTTATTTATTTATTTTTTTTGCAGTCATGGAATAAGGCCATACCCTGTGGATAGGGTATAAAGGTTTCCCTCTATATGGTAGATATTATCAGTCATAGAAAAAGAGAATCCTCACACAGAAAAATTTGGAACATGGAACAGATGGAAGGTGGCACTTCTGGATATGCCTTTTTACATCTGAACTTGGAAGAGTTAAGAATTGTTGAAGGCCCTTCTCACTGATCAGGGGAAATAGCTTCTGTCACAGAGCTGCCTACTCCAGGAGAACCAAAAATGAAAGCAAACACTCATATTTTGTAAGTCTGTTCCCTGAACTTCTGTCAATCAAGTTTAATCTAAATCAAGGATTCAAACTGAGAAGCATTTAAGGACCAAGAAAAAGTTAATTAGCCCAGTATAAGTCAATAAGAAATGGTAAGCAGTATGGGGGAAAGGAGTGCCATACCCTTCTAGGCATCCAAATTCAAGCATTTACAATGTACTGCATGAAGCACTACCCTATACAGCACTAATAACAGCACAAACTTGCTTGACATTTCTACATAATACATTATTCATTAATTCAGAAGAAAAATAGAATTCTTAAAACTCCTAATTTCATTTTTTATTAATATAAAGGAGGAACCAACAACAGCAAAAAATTGTGTGGGAGTTAGAAAATAAGGACTAGGCGGCTGGGTGCGGTGGCTCACGCCTGTAATCCCAGCACTTTGGGAGCCCAAGGCAGGCGGATCACGAGGTCAGGAGATCGAGACCATCCTCGCTAACACAGTGAAACCCCGTCTCTACTAAAAAATAGAAAAAATTAGCTGGGCATGGTGGTGGGCGCCTGTAGTCCCAGCTACTCTGGAGGCAGAGGCAGGAGAATGGCGTGAACCCGGGAGGCAGAGCTTGCGGTGAGCCGAGATCTTGCCACTGCACTCCAGCCTGGGCGACAGAGCGAGACTCTGTCTCAAAAAAAAGAGAAAAAAAGAAAAGAAGGACTAACTAAGTAGGCAGATGTGGGGTGGGGCCAACAAAACGTGGCAGCCAGCAGACCAGTCTATTTCACCATGGTCTCTGCTGCAGTATTTAAGAAATAGGTAGAGCCGGCTAGACATGGTGGTTCACGCCTGTAATCCCAGCACTTTGGGAGGCCGAGGCGGGTGGATCACCTGAGGTCGGGAGTTTGAGACCAGCCTGACCAACTTGGAGAAACCCTGTCTTTACTAAAAATACAAAATTAGCCAGGCGTGGTGGCACATACCTGTAATCCCACCTACTTGGGTAGGCTGAGCAGAGATCGCTTGAACCCAGGAGGCGGAGGTTAAATTGCTTGAACCCAGGGAGCAGAAGGTTGCGGTGAGCCGAGATTGCGCATGCCCTCTAGCCTGGGCAGGAAGAGTGAAATTCCCATCTCAAAAAACAAACAAACAAAGAAATAGGTAGAAACCTGGGCATGGTTGGCTCACGGCGTCTAACCCCAGCACTTTAGGAGGCTTGAGTGGGCAGATCACTTGAGGGTCAGAGTTTGAAACTATGCCTGGCCAACATGGTGAAACCCCAGTCTCTGCTAAAAAAAAAAAAAAAAACAAAAAAAACAAAAAATTAGCTCGAGCATGGTGGCAGGCAACCTGTAATCCAGCTACTTGGAGGGTGAGGCAACGAGAATCGCTGTGAACCGCCCCAGAGGCAGAAGGTTCAGGAGCTGAGATTGCGTCCCGGAGCAGTCCAGACACAGAGAAGGATCTGTCATCAAAAAAAAAAAGGTAGAAAGCGGATGCGTTCCTCCTACTATAGGGTGATTATGAAAGATCCCCAAGGAAAAGTTGAATATCAGAATGAGGGTCATTTCAAACATGTCCCATCCCTATATGGTAGACCTCCTGTTCCGTATTACCTTTGGCAGATGAGGATTTGAGTTTAACAGACCTGATGGATTTCCATACAACTTCATAATTTCCCCCCATCTAAGACTCATGCTTCCATTTTTGTCACCATGGCCACAGCAGCTGAAATGGCTCACTAAACAGCCTTTATCCCCACACTGCACCACTAAATGGACAAGTTCTTTTTTCTCTAGTGTCTTAAATTCATGGCCTCAGTCTGAGGCCTTTAGTTTTATACTGCTTTGAGAGAGTCCTCTTTAAAGTCTTAGAGATATACATATACCTCTTACTGTTTACCACCTCTAATTTAATAGCAAGAAAGAAATTGGAAATCTTGTAGGAATATTCTCTGTTCTTTTTTTTTTTTTTTTTTTTTCAGATGAAGTCTCACTCTTGTCCACAGGCTGGAGTGTAATGCCACGATCTTGGGATCTTGGTTCACCGCAACCTCTGCCTCCCGGGTTCAAGTGATTCCCCTGCCTCAGCCTCCCCAGTAGCTGGGATTATAGGTGCCTGCCAACACGCGTGGCTAATTTTTGTATTTTTAGTAGAGATGAGGTTTCACCATGTTGGCCAGGCTGGTCTCGAACACCTGATCTCAGGTTATCTGCCCACCTCAGTCTCCCAAAGTGCTGGGATTACAAGTGTGAGCCACTGCACCTGGCCAAGGAATACTCTTTGTTCTATGCTACCTACTAGGACAGCTAGTCTACTTAGTTATCCCCAAAACCAAAAGGATAGTAACTCAACAAGCTCAGAATACACCATTCTGCTTGCAGCCATTGTTTTCACCACTACTCCATTTCCCCCTGCACACATAGCTCATTACCTTGTCGCATGTACACTTGCTATAGTCACAGCAGGAACTAGAATCTGGAGATGTTACATGTCACACAAGAGGTCAATGAGAAGCACAAAACCATACATTGCAAATGGGTAACATATCAGTGTGGCCATCCAAGCAGAGGATTAGGTATGGCCTTCGTCTCATGTTCCCATTAGGCTCAGATGAGCTAGATAATGGGGTTTTGCTCCTGTTTCCTATTCAAAGATTAGTCAACCTGGGAGCTTTCTAATTCTATCATATGTATTTCATTTGTTTCACTAGTTACTCATTTGATCAACCCAGGGAAGACCATAACATGAATGAAACACAGCCCAAGTATGCTTTAACCGTAATATGGGATTGCATAATTCCGGCTACCAAGACCATTTAACAGAATCCAGTGGAATGAGGGAAGTGTGGACTACAGGAGTTAGTGGGGGAATTCTCAGTCACTGCAACCATGCTTCTAAACAAAGGCCTTCACCAAGAACCTAGGGCAATCTCATTCCATCTGCCAGAACTTGTAGGGGTATCACTAAATTATGCTTAGTCAAAATTATAATTTGTAGTTTATAAATACTATAAAACATATTTAAATCTAGGTCTACTTAATTTTTAGCTTCTGTTCTTAAGTGCTGGATTATTTTCATTCGTTTGTTTCGTTCAAAATCTTGACATTATAGGAAAGGATGGAGATGAGGAGGATGATGAGGCAGGAAAATACAGAACTGCTTCATAGTCCCAACGCTGAACCTTTCTACATGCTGTTTCTTCTTCTTATAAAGCACTTCTTGGCCAGGTGTGGTGGCTTACACCTGTAGTCCCAGCTCTTGGTGGGCAGGTCACTTGAGGTCAGGAGTTCGAGACTAGCATGGCCAACATGGTGGAACCCAATCTCTACTAAAAATACAAAAAAATTAGCCAGGTGTGGTAGCGTGCCTGTAGTCCCAGCTACTTGGGAGGCTTAGGGAGGAGAATCGTTTGAACTGGGGAGGCAGAGGTTGCAGTGAGCCAAGATCATGCCACTTCACTCTAGCCTGGGTGACTGGGTGACAGAGCGAGACTCCACCTCAAAAACAATAAATAAATAAAAAAAATAAAAAGCACTTCTTCCTTCCACTTGGTAAACTGTGTACAGAATAACATGGAGATGGAAGAGAGGCAGGTAGATTAACGGGGAGCAGTTTTAGTAATTATATTCTGTGATTCAGACCTCTTCTTAATTCAACTTTCCTGCTAATTAATGTAAATTAATAAGGTTTCTGCTGGGCGCGGTGGCTCACGTCTGTAATCCCAGCATTTTGGGAGGCCAAGGCGGGTGGATCACGAGGTCAGGAGACTGAGACCATCCTGGCTAACACAGTGAAAACCCATCTATACTAAAAATACAAAAAATTAGCCAGGCGTGGTGGCGTGCGCCTGTAGTCCCAGCTACTTGGGAGGCTGAGGCAGGAGAATGGCGTGAACCCAGGAGGTGGAGCTTACAGTGAGCCAAGATCGGGCCACTGCACTCCAGCCTGAGCAACAGAGCAAGACCTTGTCTCAAAAAAAAATTAATAAGATTTCATAATTATTATATTTACCGACCAGGTTCTTTCTACATAATTATTGTTTACTTTCTAATAAATTACTTAGAAAGGCCACCTACAAATCCAAATTATATGCAAAATGTTTCATTTCCTATTTCCTTCCCAGGGATGCATAATTATTCTGGAAAAATCATTGGCAGCTGGGCATGGTGGCTCATGCCTGTAATCGCAGCACTCTGGGAGGCCACGGCAGGCGGATCCACCTGAGGTCAGGAGTTCAAAACCAGCCTGGCCAACATGGTAAAGCCCCATCCTTACTAAAAACACAAAAATTAGCTGGGCTTTGTGGTGCACACCTATAGTCCCAGCTACTCAGAAGACTGAGGCAGGAGAATCATTTGAACCCAGGAGGCAGAGATTGCGGTGAGCTGAGATGGTGCCACTGTACTCCAGCCTGGGAGACACAGCCAGACTGTCTCTCAGGAAAAAAAAAAAAAATTCATTGGCTTGTAAGTTAAAATCTTTATCTTGCTCTACCTTCTCTAGAATACCTACATCTCTTTTTTTTCTTTTTTTTTTTTGATAGCCACTCATTCTTTTTGAT